AATTATACTAGTAAAAAACATACAAGATAAGGTTTGCGCAATACTACCGAGACACATATTGCTAATCGACTACATTCTCAATCGACTTGAGAATGGTCCAGGACGGACCGAAACGTCGTCGTCCCTTCAATTTCTAGTGTGTGGTCTGGTCAACATACTTCAGCCACGTTATTGTGACTCATCGCCTGCACATATTGCTATTTATTGTAAATACAAAAACATATGTTCGGAAGTGGAGGAGAACGAGTTGACTAAGTTCAAACTTAGTTTGAACTAAGTTCAAACTCGTCCATATTAAATAGCCTCGCTGGTCTGGACGAGTTAGGTCAAACATTCATTACTTAAACCCAGATGTGTTAGTAGAGTTTGTGTATTGCGGACACCATACGAATCATGTCAGCGGTAATCGAATGGTTACAGTTACATCCTAGTGGGTCAAATATGTACTGGTATCGATAACTGATAACGTCTATCTTGAGATGATTGATTGATTGAATGACGTCAAATTAACATTATTCTTGGACATTTTACCTACTGAGATATTGGGCCTAGGATCTGAGCCCCCAGTGTTTTCTAACCTAAGTAATATACATGTGTGGTGACCGATCTACTTAATAAAGTTTTTATCTTTGGCCGACCCTAGCAATAAAATGGGTACCTGTGTGTTAGTCAGCTGTCACGGGCTGCTTCCTGGGGGTGGAGGCATGGTCGAGGACCGGGCCGCGGGGACACTAAAAAGCCCCGAAATCATCTTAAAATAACCTCAAGATAACCTGATCCATGTACCCATCCATGGGAGGTGGGAAGGATAGTCAAGTTAAGCACTAACTTTGGAACTTTGGCTAATAATTTTGGTAATACTTAAATTTTAAATTAAATATTTAGACTTTCTCTAGTGAAATGAAGCAACATGTCATTAACCCATTTAAAACTACACAAAAATCGAAGCACATCTTAGAAAACAAAACTTCATTAAAGGAAATATTAATGTTAATAACGATAGTGATTTTGTTAAAACTAAATAATGCTAATTAACAAACGTAGAAATAAATAATAAATAGAAATTGGTAATGACGATATAATAACACTAAACGAAAAATGAATAACGTGTCATATCTAATAACAGTAAATGCATTTAATAAAATATAAAAAATAACTATATTATATCCGACATTTTGCCCTGTATATTGCTTTTTTAATCATGTTGTCGATTAACCTAATTTCAGCTCCTCCAATTCTGCTGCTCTAAATGTATGCTCGAAATTACCTTTTGGGGGCCGCATACTCCAGGATTGGTCTAAGCATATGTGGTATACAAGGTCCAACGAGACATAGCAAGCGAGAATAGGTTGCTCGTACACACACAAACACAAACATACACCTTAATGTTGATTTACCATGTTTACCCGTCATAAATATTCTCTGAGTACTGTGTTTTCCCCTTGATGCAACACACACACACACACACACACACACACACACAGGTTGCAGAGAACAGAAAGCTACAAGGATCGTATATCAAAGGCGGTACGCCCATATCTTCGTTACCTAAGATTACACAGCAGGAGGCAGGAGGAGCCACACACACACACACCTGGCAGTTAACAGCCTTGTATCAAACCAACATCCCCCTTTGCCTGCATATTTTTAATTTACCCCGCAATTTCAACCGTGTTTAACATGAGCCCATAACAACTGGTGGCTTTTTAACATGCTACAAGCTTTCGCGAATGCTCTGGCATTTAATTTATTTTTATCCCGACACAAGTTTAATATGCAACCTCCAAATAAATCTCCAGCTGTTGTATCTCTCTGATAGGATACAATAAGACTGGCATTTCCAGATTTTCATTTAATTTCCTTATTAACATTTACATGAAAATTAATTAAACGACTATTACAGACCCATTTTGTTGGCGGCGGCAGAAAGCTGACAATCACATAATGGGTTGAGCAAATGGGCCCCAATGTTCTTTATGCTAAGTAATTTGCATATTTTTTTATTCAATTATTTTTCCTTTGTAGGTGTCCCTTAACTAAGGCTAACACGAACCATTAGGGCATAGTAATGGAATATGGGACAACTGCTTCATATTCCAGAAGGGAACATTGACAATAGTTTCTTAACATTCCGCAAAGGAATATTAACAATCACCACTTAACGTTCCACGAGAGAAGATCAACAATCACCTTTTAACATTCCACAAGAGACCGTTAAGAATCACCTTTTAACATTCTACAAGAGAGCATTAACTAACACCTCTTAACATTCCACGGTAGCACATTAACCATCGCCTCTTAACATTCCACAATGACACATTAACAATCACCTCTTAACATTCCACAAGAGAATGTTTATAGGTTATGCTACATTCCACACATTAACAGCAACTTCTAACATTCGAGAACTGAGCATATAAAGAACCTCTTAAAACACTCCACAACTGAGCATTAAAGAATAATCTCTTCACATTCCACAAGAGAGCATTAACAAGCCACACCAACCTCTCCTTCCTCATTTTTTTTAACCTAAAATGAATTACGTTAATGAGCTTGCCGAAGCTTACGTGAATACAATAGGCTTGAGAGGTGGCCTTGCCCAGTTATTACCCAATTGTGAGGGCCAGGAAGTATTAAATGAGGGTTGCCCTCATCAGGATAAATAAAAGGTTACATAGTAACCTAACTTAAGCCATCCTAAGCTAAGCCAATGCATCCTAACCTGGATATATATATATTTATATATTAGTATCTCACTGCTCACTTAAACTACTAAATACTTGCTACAAATTCCCAACTAAACGAACGCATTATGTTTCAAAGTGAAGTTCTTTAAGAGTAAATAAAGTTGTATTACTTGATGCGTTAATTCGTATTACTTAACACTATTAAGCACCTAACTTTATCATTTTACATTAAAGAAAAAGGGTCGAATGAGCGACTTTTTTGGTGGATAAAGTTTTTACCTGTTGTGATTAGTAGGGCGAAAAGTAGTAGTCCCTTGAGCATCATCTTGAAAGTGGCTTTGGAGAGGAAGTTTGTCACAGCACAAGTTAGAACACAATCGAGGGGGAGGGATTAAACAAGCTCCTATTAACACTTGAGACACACAGAGTCGCGGACTGGGCACACCACCGGACACGCTCCTCTCGCTACCAGAGTCAACCACCAACTGAACCTCGCGCTAAGAGTGAGCCGCAGAGGCCGGGCCGAGGCCGAGGCCAATTCGGCCGGCCGGCCCGGCCGGTTTCAGGGCGGCCGAGCCCTGGGAGGCCGGGCTCCCACGTTCTCCCACATATATTTCGTCACTTTACTACCTCCTTCCTCCTCCCCGTGCCGTGAGTGATTCCCAGAAATACTGGCTATATGAGAATGCCGAGTAACCAGTGACTGCGCGAATAGGTGTAAATCTAATACATATATCGTGGATTATTTCACCGTTTGCAAATCTGATATTTATTCACAAAATACGTAACTCTCACGCCAATCTTCCTGGCTAACTACCATATCTTTACACCCTACGCGAAAGCCATGCCACTAGGATCAATTAGCAATCCCACCGATAACATAAAGAGACGACCGTTCTCGTAAAGCTGTAAAGTGAGATTAAACTGTTCCGTAATGTGCAAAAATAAGAGGGTGTCAGATTAGGGCGGGGAAGCCCTTTCTCCTACAAGAACTAACACTTATGGTTGAAGTAGGCGGCCGTGTCTGCACTCTCAAGTCTTTAATTATCTGCCGTATCTAATTTACTTCTAAATAAATATATAAATGTTCTCAAATGAGGCTGTGAAACTTGAAATAACAGATGATACTGAACCGCCACACTTAGATAACGTACTTGGGGGGGTAGAAATAGCCTAAGCTACTCTATCCCTTTGAGATCTATTTTTTCTTTCCTCAATAAACATACTTGAACTTGACAACAGACAGTACACGACCAAACGACCAACTTGGGAACAAGCAGTTATACACTTTGTATCAAATGAACCTATAATGAGACCAATTGTGTGTGTGTGTGATTACGGCCACACTTGAAGTCTCCCGAAATTGGTCAAAAATCTTATTTCTGATCAAGCAAAGGCGTCGTCTTCAATGTTTACAAGCAATTAACTCTTCCTGGAGTTCGAGGAACTGACATTTGCAGAGGCTTTTTTTTGTATTATTATTATTTTTTACCACAGATGTGGCCACACATTTACAATGCTAATCAGCATATATACATTTTCTTCTGTTGTGTAGCCTGAGTATTTAGGAAAAAAAGTATATATTGATTTAGAATCAAGTACGTTTGACGTGTTAAAATTTAATTTTTTTTTAGAACAACGACTTAATTTTGAAGGCTATTTTCTCATGGTTAACCACAAATCACTGATTTGTTGATAATCACTTTATAATACTTATATATTATTATAATGCTTAAATGACTTTCCATAACAAAATATTCTAAATACAAATCTTGACAGTAAATCGCCCCAATACCTTAATATTTTACTAAACCTCACAAGTGCCGGTATCAGCAGCAGTCTTGGAAGAGTGACCAAGTGTGTTGAGGAGACCATATTCGCGGGTCTGACTGACCAAGACCACACACGCCAGACCAATGACTGTGGTTAGGTTGCTTCCACTTGACAACAAAAGCCAGAAATATCTACACACACACAGCTACAAAACAGAACGTTCCAGAGCAGGAAACTAACTAATGGCGAGTGTCGAAACGTGATTCTATCTTGTAATAGATTCAGCTATGCTAAACTTCAGTTAATATTTTCTCTCAACAAGTTACTGCAGTGTCTCTCTCCAGAATGCGGAGGAATGTATAATTCTTTGCTAAGATATTCTGGAATATCCGTTTTCTACAGTTTCACACACACACACACACACACACACACACACACACACACACACACACACACACACACAGGGCGTCTGATGGCTGAGTGGACAACACTCAGGACTCGTAATCCTGGGGACCGGGGTTCGAACCCCGGCGATGGCGGAAAATAAATAGCAGTAAATAGGTACCTAATCGTCTAACTCCCCGGTACCTATTTACTGCTAGGTAACAGGGGCATTCAGGGTAAAAGAAACTTTGCCCATTTGTTTCTGCCTGGTCAGGGAATCGAACCTGAGCCAAAGAATTACGAGCCCTGCGCGCTGTCCACTCAGCTACCAGACCCCCCACCCTGGTCTGACCCCGTGTGTGTGTGTGTGTGTGTGTGTGTGTGTGTGTGTGTGTGTGTGTGTGTGTGTGTGTGTGTGTGTGTGTGTGTGTGTGTGTGTGTGTGTGAAAAAATTAGGAGTAGTTAGTAACAGTTGATTCATTGACAGTTGAGAGGCGGGCCGAAAGAGCAGAGCTCAACCCCCGCAAGCACAACTAGGTGAATACACACAGATATGACAGGAGACATGAATGAATCATTGCCTTAAATTTAATATAAAGATAACAACAAACCATTGCCTTAAACCAGCGACATTATTAAGTCGGGTTTAAGGTCCAGGCACTGCAGCTCGACTCTGCAGACACAACCAGCCTCATATAAACACATGACTACACCCCTGGCTGCAAGTGACGCCTGACTTATTCGATTACCCCCTCCCCCGTACCCCCTAACCCCCACCCCCCCACCCCTCTTACACGCCAAACAAGATTTCTCAAGTCAGGATATTAAATCAAAGTGACCTTAATCTCTCAGTCGCGTGACTCTCTGGCATCCCTCTCACTCGCCTTCTAATTAGTTAATCCTCATCATTAAGACATCAAAGACAATTATACATTTATGCATACATATAAATATACATATGATGACCCCCCACCCCCACTCCAGGATGTCCGTTCGATCCCACCGCCCTGCTACAAAAAGATTCTCTAAAAAGAGATTTATCACGTTATTCTCAGTTTAAGGCATAAGTAAACACACACACACACACACACACACACACACACACACACACACACACACACACACACACACACACACACACACACACACACACACACACACACACACACACGGACACTGGGTGGACCCACGAGGCAGCCTTCTGGCGTCTCCCACAATGTATTACAAAGTATATTATTAGGCTTGAACATAAAACGCGCATACTTCCCACCATCACATTTTTATACACAAGGATAACGAGCGCATATTGCAACGTGCGGTGTTGTGTGATGTGCAGGAGCGTTACCGGCGGTGGTAGCGGTGGTGTTCGTGGTGATAGTTGTGGTGGTAGTGGTGGTGGTGGTGGTGGCGGACAACAGCAACAGATCAGTGGCGGGACCAAAGTGCCGAAGCTCAACCCTAGCAGCCCGCGGAAATGTTAAATAATAAATACAAATGCTTTATATAGATATATCGCTATACTGTACTCAACTAGGTGAGTGCAACATAGCGATAAATATCCCCTCACAACAGAGAAATGAATATCCAGAGAAAAATGTGCTTCATTAACATTTGTTAACATAATGTTAACTTATCACCACACCGACACTGACAATTACACCAATATGCACTAAGTATCACCCTATTAAACATTAACACTATTCAATAAAATATATGGCAGGACATTTCATAAACATATTATAGGGAATAATGACCAAATACACACAGGAAAAATGTCTGTGTAAATCACCAATAAATTAACACATAATGAATTATCAACAGTTAATCAACATATAATCATCATACTTCAGATGATGAGTTGAAGAATGACAAACAGGAAAGCGCTCAAGTAATTTATCGTTTCCCTTTCCCTTCGTGAACATATATATATATAAGTTTTCACACAGAATAACATAAAAGATATTTATATATATCCGCCGTTCTCGGGGACAGGAAGCCTGCATCCTTGGGGTTATATCCTGCTCCCCCGAAGTTGTTTATAAACAATAATAACCAAAGCCGCCAATGATTAAGGAAAGATGTACAGGTTTCGTAAGTGGTTGGGCAAATGCTTTATAATGGACTCCTGGCGCTGGACAGCACAGTCCAGAAGTCTAGATAGAAACGACAGCGAGCCTAGCGTAATTTTAACCCGTATAAGAGACAGGAAATTAATAAAAAATAAAAAATACATCCATAAATATCCCATCTTGGAGCCCGGTTGGAGGAGAGGATCATTTACAGGGAGGAACCATTTACAGGGAGGAATCATTTACAGGGAGCTGGTAAAATACTTACCGGTAAATACTTGGGCAGTATATCACACTGAAAAAAATTCTCGTTTATGGTCAATATGGCCGCCGTATTTTACAGCCTAGCCGCCATTACTCATCTCTGGACACTTCATTATGCGAGTGTCTCGCTTGTCCTCACGTCAACCCGCCCGCCCACACGTCAAACCGCCCGCCCGCACGCCCACACGTCATCCCTCCCGCACGCCCACACCTCTTCTCGTCCACCCGTCAACCAGCCTGCACGCCCACACGCCTACCCAAACACATACATTCCAACCAGACAAACACGCATAAGATTACACACTCGCTCATATCTCTACAGAACAAAACGTCCACCAGCCTACCTACTTACCACACGCCCACACCAACACACACACGCCCACAAACAGGTCAACTACCCCAAGGCTAATGGAACTAGCTCTCACAACCCACGAGACGAGAAGAGGAGACATGATCACAACATATAAGATACTGAGGGGGAATGTACAAGATTGACAATGACAGCTTCTTTAATCTGAGATAAAGTAGGACAATAGAACATAAGTGCAAGCTGGAATAGCATATGAGCTCAAGAAGTATAACAAAAAAATACTCGTAACTGGTAAGGGTGGACAAGCGGAATGCACTGAAACCTGCAAGAGAATGTGGATAAAATGGAGGTTATGAAACCTGCACCAGGACAGGGGAAGATTGGACCTCAGAAACCAGGAGTGACTACTGAGGTCAGACTAAACAAAATTTCAGTGCAGAGAGAGAGAGAGAGAGAGAGAGAGAGAGAGAGAGAGAGAGAGAGAGAGAGAGAGAGAGAGAGAGAGAGAGAGAGAGAGAGAGAGAGAGAGTGAGAGTGAGTTTCCAGTCATCAAGTGAAAGAGAACGAACACTACACCAAGTCTATCACCTGGTGCGCGCTTAGAGAAACGCTAGCGGAATATTGCATATGGATAGCGAGCAGGACTCGTAATTCATTGGCGCGGGTTCGAATCCCGCGCCACAGAATTACATTGTCTTAAATTTAAGGCAATGACACCGACACATGACAATGACTCAACACCGTCCCAACACTTGCCACCTGACAAGGGTAAGGGTGGCCCTCAGGAACCCTGACAATTAAGGAGTCCTTCAGGATACTTCCCACCATATATGCAGGATTACTGTGATGAATAGTGTGAGACATTTATATATTCCTGTTCTCGGGGGACAAGGCGCCTGTGTTAAGATTGATCGAGGTCTTCCGAGTTAAACTAGTGACCTTCCGGTGGGTGCAGCCTCACCACGGTGGCCTAACTCACGCGAACATGTTATCTAGAGGTTATCTTGAGGTTATCTTGAGATGATTTCGGGGCTTTAGTGTCCCCGCGGCCCGGTCCTCGACCAGGCCTCCACCCCCAGGAAGCAGCCCGTGACAGCTGACTAACACCCAGGTACCTATTTTTCTGCTAGGTAACAGGGGCATAGGGTGAAAGAAACTCTCCATATTGTTTCTCGCCGGCGGCCGGGATCGAACCCGGGACCACAGGATCACAAGTCCTGCGTGCTGTCCGCTCGGCCGACCGGCTCCCTTGTCGAAGGAAAAAAAAAATTTTCTTGAACCTAATATTCTAGAACATTCCAACCACTTGAACTGGCCCGTAGAGTGGCGACCTTGCTTCTTGCAGGTCAGCGTTCGATCCCCCGATGGTCCAAGGGGGTTCTGTTCCTCCTACCCTGTTCTCAAGCCAAATTAGCTTAGCAGTTACTCTTGATAAGTCTTCTTTTATACCGAATATAGAAGTTCGACCCCCTGAGCTGAAACATGCTGAACTCTGTAAATCAGAACACTGGGAACTCCTGTTGATATATATGACTTGTACACTCGACTTATTGAATAATGCTACAGTGAGGTCGTAATATAGGTGTTGTAATTATAACTTAAGCTTGTACAAGCTCTTTAATCACTTGTGGTTCAGTACTCTATAACCCACTTTGTTCGGTAACAACCATCGAGCCCTGTCCATTGAAGACACACGTAATCGAATATTTACTGGACAGCTTTGCAACTTAATTGCCACTGTAGTGCAACACCTCGAGAGGTCACACAAGGTGTGGGTCCAGCACCAGAGGTCACACAAGGTGTGGGTCTAGCACCAGAGGTCACACAAGGTGTGGGTCCAGCACCAGAGGTCACACAAGGTGTGGGTCCAGCACAAGAGGTCACACAAGGTGTGGGTCCAGCACAAGAGGTCACACAAGGTGTGGGTCCAGCACCAGAGGTCACACAAGGTGTGGGTCCAGCACCAGAGGTCACACAAGGTGTGGGTCCAGCACAAGAGGTATCACACAAGGTGTGGGTCCAGCACCAGAGGTCACACAAGGTGTGGGTCCAGCACAAGAGGTATCACACAAGGTGTGGGTCCAGCACCAGAGGTCACACAAGGTGTGGGTCCAGCACCAGAGGTCACACAAGGTGTGGGTCCAGCACCAGAGGTCACACAAGGTGTGGGTCCAGCACCAGAGGTCACACAAGGTGTGGGTCCAGCACAAGAGGTATCACACAAGGTGTGGGACCAGCACCAGAGGTCACACAAGGTGTGGGTCCAGCACAAGAGGTATCACACAAGGTGTGGGTCCAGCACAAGAGGTATCACACAAGGTGTGGGTCCAGCACCAGAGGTCACACAAGGTGTGGGTCCAGCACAAGAGGTCACACAAGGTGTGGGTCCAGCACCAGAGGTCACACAAGGTGTGGGTCCAGCACAAGAGGTCACACAAGGTGTGGGTCCAGCACCAGAGGTCACACAAGGTGTGGGTCCAGCACCAGAGGTCACACAAGGTGTAAGACAGTAGTGCTAAAGAGGAATGCACTTAAAGTGGTACAGAATGCCATCACATACAAGCCTTCTGATGTATTACCACTCCCCCCCCCCACAGCATTGTTAGTGAGGTAAACATCAGTCGATTAATAGCCACGATGTCGGACAAACACATAATTAGTGAGTGCACAACAGCACGCACGCATACAACTGCACACACCCGTACACATACACACATACTCACACACTTATACACCTGCTCAACCCACACACCCGCACGCCCACACCTCCCTTCAGCTCCCACTATCCACCTCCCCCAACTCCCACTTACCCCCTCCCACTAAAAAACCTGTAATGGACTTTCTATTCTGGGGACAAGCCAATCAAAGTTTTGACCAGTTTTCTCTCCCACAACACGTATAGAGGGAGTCCCTCCAAGCGGCCCTCCCAACACCCTAAAAACACCCTCCCTACACCCTCCCAACATCGTCCCAACACCCTCCCTACACCCTCCCAACATCGTCCCAACACCCTACACCCTCCCAACATCGTCCCAACACCCTCCCAACACCGTCCCAACACTCCCAACACCGTCCCAACACCGTCCCAACACCATCCCAACACCGTCCCAACACTCCCAACACCGTCCCAACACCGTCCCAACACTCCCAACACCGTCCCAACACCGTCCCAACACTCCCAACATCGTCCCAACACCGTCCCAACACCGTCCCAACACTCCCAACATCGTCCCAACACCGTCCCAACACCGTCCCAACACCATCCCAACACCCTCTCAACACATCATGGCCTCAGAGTCACAGACCCGCAGCTCTACGCTATTTTAGAGCGTAAAACCATCACATTGAGATTCAAGAAGCTTATGGAAGTATTTTTACCCGAAGGGTATTATTGGACGGTGGCACTAGGGCCGGGTATAGAGATGTGGCTGTGTTTATGTTCAATCTTTCCCCTCGTCATATCTATCTCTGATGCCGTATCTTCGTCAAGCGTTTATTGACCGTTATATAGACCATAATGATTTGTATATAACGTGTCATAACACAGATCTTACAGGTCGTAAGACTGAAAGAGGGAGCTAATTAATGCCTACTCGACCCTGCAAACACATTTAGGGAAGTATATATATATATATATTTAGGGGAGTAACTACACCAATAACATTTCAGTAATTTTTATTTTTTTTTTTATTTTAAACTTAACTCTAGGGTGCCTACCAGCCATATTTGACTCACCCTTTTAACCAATCGAAGTTGATTATATTAAGGGTCTCTCCCACCATCCCCCCCTGACCACCGACCATATTACGGAGGGTCTCATATGGGAAGAGTGTCGTGTTGGGGGAGCCACTGGCCACCCAGAGTCAATTTTTAACAATATGGTTGATTGGGTGCTGCAGGGAGGCATTTCCGCCCCAACACGCTTTCCCTCTCAACACTTGTGTGTGTGTGAAGCATGTTGTTTGTCGCAGCAGTTAACACTGCCTTTCATAATGAAGTGAAACACATACGACACTGAAAGGGGGAGTGGGAGACGTGGAAAGAGAGAGAGAGAGAGAGAGAGAGAGAGAGAGAGAGAGAGAGAGAGAGAGAGAGAGAGAGAGAGAGAGAGAGAGAGAGAGAGAGAGAGAGAGAGACAGACAGACACAGACAAAGACAGAAATAAATGAAAGAGCGTGTCGTCCGTTGACATGACTATTAAAAAACAACACCGCCTATTATGCTTGAAGCGGTACAACACAATAAATACCTGTGGCCCGACAGATTACAAACGTTAAAAGTACACTTCTCAACCATAAGCCTGTAATCAAAACTCCCCGACTGAGGAGTTCCCGAAAAACAACCTTTGATTAGTGGGGACTGAGAGATCGAAACTGAGAGAGACTTAATGAACGCAATAATAGTTTCCATCGATCATACTAATTAGATATTATCTTAAATATTGCTTTAAAGTGCGATGATCAAAGAGAGAGAGAGAAGCCTAAAATATTAAACTTTTGCGCTAAGAAAGCGTGTTGTCATGCCCGAATAGGACCCGTCGGGCATAAATGATAGGCTGTGATACTCAAGAAACTGCCAACTGCCACAACGAAAGAAAACCAGAGTGTCGTACTAAACATGTTGTAAACGGTCAGAGAAAGATGGCAAAAAACCCAAGCCTAATATTTCTTAGGCCTACCACAGAACAGATATTTACTATGCAAACTGTAAGTCACAATTACGGGGCTGAAATCAGATACTTATCACATACACACATCAGAAAATAAACCATTACACGACATGTTAATTGGCCTAGGATGGACAGAACCGTCGTCTCTTGATAATGGTCCAGGATGGACAGAAGCGTCGTCTCTTGATATTGGCCTAGGATGGACAGAACCGTCGTCTCTTGATAATGGTCCGGGATGGACAGAAACATCATCACTTGATAATGGTCCACGATGGACAGAAACGTCGTCACATGATAATGGTCCAGAATGGACAGAAACGTCATCACTGATAATGGTCCAGGATGGACAGAACCGTCGTCTCTTGATAATGGTCCAGGACGGACAGAACCGTCGTCACTTGATAATGGTCCAGGACGGACAGAACCGTCGTCACTTGATAATGGTCCAGGACGGACAGAACCGTCGTCTCTTGATAATGGTCCGGGATGGACAGAACCGTCGTCTCTTGATAATGGTCCGGGATGGACAGAACCGTCATTTCCTTTATTCTCAGATCTAACCACCAATGCGTAAAAAACGTTCATATTTGTGAACTGCTACTTTTCAGAGTACTTTTGAATTTGTACATGAAATTTGTACATTAATTGTATCATGGCGTACAAAATGAGAGGTACTATTTGTCAGGACGGGCCCCGTCAATTTAGTCAATGTTGCCAAAGTATATTCTGGATACAACGATAGAGATTAATGTAATAATTATATAAAGAGTAATGTGGAGTATATAATTGAAAGACTAAATAGACGACAAAAACCGTATGATTAATAACCTAGATCTAGTCATCTTTTTATGCAAGCAAAAAATAAATAAAAAGTAGCCTCATCATCTATTGCAACACTCTTAACTGCTTGGGCTACACTACCCAATTTCAATAGAAAACAAACATTTTTGCTCAAACCTAAATATTTTATATTTCAAATCAGGACGATGAGGCGTTCTCGGAATACTGAACCTAAGCCTGACGATAAAAAAAGTTAAAAAAAAAAATCCCAAACGTGGATATCTAATTAAATATACAAGTCAATAAAATATTATTAGCGATAATACTATACGAAAATCTCCAAAAACTACACATTTTGAAGAATTAGGCGAAGTCGTTTCATAATATTAAAGTCAAGGGAAATGCCTTGCCGGGTTTTCCAGCCCAGACATCAAAGGCAGGCTGCCATATGCTGCTCATATTCTAGTTTACCAAAACACTAGTTTATTTGGTACTATTATTTCCTCAAAACTTTTCTATATTAACTTTATAATGCAGTCATTTATCATGATACATTGGTGATTGGTTTCACCACAACAGCTATTATTTAATGGTTTTAATGCAATGATGAGTTAATAATACGTGGTTTTACTAAAACTAAAATAAAAATATATGATATTACTGCAACGACTGCTTCTGTTGACTGAAATGATGCAATAACATTATGTTTTCTCCAGATATAAATTTACTTGATGATGTTGTCATATTTCCCCTTACGCTACTTATTTTATTAAATGTCACATTAAATTTGCATAATATTGTTTAATAGTCGAATTGTAGGTATACAATTTGGAAAAAAATAGGGATATAATATTTTTGCTTGACTTACTATTGATACTATATGCAAGAAAACTTGTAAATCTTATATAAGGGGGAAAGAGGGAGAACAGACTGAAAAAAGAGATGTATTTTTTCTTGTCTCAATAAACATACTTGAACTTGAAGAGACAGACAGACATCCACCATCTCTGGATACTGTCCAGTTCCCCACTTACAGTCTGTCTCCATAGTTGTGTGAAATATCTCTTGAATCATTACTGCAGCGTGTGGAGTGAAGCCTCGTCAGGGGTAGTTGTACTAGTGCGGTTTCTGATGGACAGTTCGGTAATTAAGCGATCCTTCCCGCTGGCTTCTGTTTACAAGTAACTTTCGTGAGAATGAACATTGTCAACGGCTTGGTGCACTCTCCTGTATGTGTTTGCAAGGTCGAGCTTCAGCTATCAAATCCAGTTTTTTTCAGCTTAATTAGTAAACGTAACGACTCTCCCTGTCATTACAAATTCGATAACTTATTTAAGTTATCGAATTTGCTTTCGAAGTTGTATATAGAGGTAGCTTTGACATCCTATTATAACCAGTTTCATTTTTTTACGACTTACGCTAAAAGTTTCGTCCTTTCACTTCTGTGACTGACTTGCGTGTCCGGTTTCAATGTGCTTTAGTTTCACTATTATAAATGTTGAACACTGCATCTTAGTTCACTTTGTCTATTCTCCTGGAGGTGATTTCATCATGTTCTCTCGCCTAATACATCGCACTTTAAACGGAATTTACCAATTCGTCAAATACTGGGGGTTTTAGTAAAAAATACAAAAATCGTTCTCGATAGTTAAGCTGGGGTTTGCTTAATACGAATGTTTCTGGTTATATAAAACCATTGCATTTTTTACGGTGTCATATCGTGAAACCGAGCTGCAGAGAGAGCAAGATCAAAATAAGGAAGTAAAGCTCTAAGCACTGGATTTAACATAGCGTGCCAAGATGGGATCTGTCTGGAAGATTGTTTACATGCAAGCCACTCTCAAATGCCCTGCGGATTATTGAAGTAATCATGTTGGCCTAATTGACCTTCCATAAGCCGGTGGCCGTAAAGCTCAACAAGAGAGAGAATAACTAAAGCCTCCCCCTCTCGTCACGTGAAGGAACCGGTCCTAAGCAGAACTGAGCACATAAGTGTACAAGATGAGGTCATGGTGTAAGCATGCACTCTACCTTCTTTTTGTATCCTGGACATAGGATAATTTT